TCATGCTCCTGTTGGGAGAGGGGCTAATAATCTAGTCTCCTGCTAGCCACCAGAATGCCCACATAGGAGAACATCACTGGAAATCAGGCTTCATTAATGTCTGTTTCTATGAGACTGCTAGCTTTAAATTAAAATACCTTAGAGACTGTAGAAGAATTAGAGGTCAGTAAGCAGAGTGTAGCTGTTTTTCTTTAGATGTTGAATATTAATGGAGGAGTACCAGGTGTAAGAAAAACACCCATGTGTAATAAACTATGGCTAAGAAGTCCTTACCTTGCCCTTTCTGTTTAGTTGATTTTTGTGGCTACCCCCGTTTTGATTATACTGGCAAAACTGGAAAAAATAGTTGTTTCTCACACATACACCAAAGTGCTGACAGGACTACTCGGTGCCCCCTTGGTGTTGCATTGATGCAGTATATCTGGTTTCATCATAATGACTATATCCTAAAACAATTCTTCTAGTTTATAAACTTGTTGTTATTCTCCACTGCATGTTTAATGTTGGTTTAGCAAACCACCAGTGCCTGTGTGCTGTGAGGACATGGAGAATGCGCTACCATTCCCCAAGGCAGATATCATACATAAGTTCTTGGAAGACTGTTTAAATGACAAAAATAAGGTCAGTAAAATTGAGTATTTTTTTTTGAGAATGCCAAAATATGTAAGGCTGGTAAATATTAGAAGGGGGAATACCTGTAAATTGGTTTTTCTTCTATAATACATAAAGTAGAAAGTCTAACTGCAGTAGTTTAGCCATATTTGAGCACAGAGTTATTAAATCATATAATCTAACCCTTGGTCACAATTACGATTAAGAAAGCATCTAACTATAAGATGCTTTGCTTAGTAATAGTTTGACTCTTACACTCCATGTTTTGTTTAAATAATAATTTTCCTGCTTCAAGTAAAGGAAGAAATTTTTTTGTTACTGATGTATTAAATACTACTAACTTCATAGCCTGGCTGATGTACTGTTGGATATGAGTCAAGTTCGAGAGGTAAGTTAAGTAACATATTTCTTATTTATGCTGTTGCACTGGAATTGGATCATGGATTGAATTTACGCTTTTGATTATTCATTATTTTATTCCCATTTTTACATATTAATCACCTTGTTGGCAGTCTTAATATTTTTCAGTCTTTCATTTGGATTATATGAACACATCCTTTTCTCAGCTAGGGAGATGAGCACTGAGCCCAGTATTCTAGTTGAAAGGCATACAATTAATTTACGTACTGGTATGTTTCCTTTACTTTCTGCCCTATTGTCCTTGAATCTTAACTGCTCTAAGGTTCTGTTTTGCCATCTTGTAGTAAACAGAGCATTACCCTTCAAGTTTTTCCACTGTGACACATACGTCTGTTTCCTTAAGGAGTTAATTGACACAGAACCTAACGATGTGCATGAGTAATTCAAATTACTCTGTCTGATGAATGGTGCTTCACTGTATTTCTTCCTTCATGGTTTCCGTTCTTTTGGTTCTGCTAGATCATCAGACATTTCTAGACATAAGAATTTCTAAATTATCCACAAATTTTTGTCACCTTGAGTTAATTTGCTTTTTTGATTATAGGATGAGCAGATATCATATAGATGCTAATTATGTGAATGAATCTATGTTTATCATTAAGGAAGCTTACTTGCTCTGTCAGTTATGAAATGTTGAAACAAGTTTGCAGCACTGCTGTCGTAGCATTACAAGGACTGACAGTCCTAATGTTCTTGAATTATTTTACACAAGCCAGGGCTGAGGCCTTTCTGTGTTGCTTCATGTCTTCCTAACGATGTACGTATTTACAGTGATTTCACTGACTGTACAGTGGCATAAGTTAAGATGAACCAGTGTAGCATCATACTATAAATAGACCTTTGAAGAACAGGTAGAGGGAAACACTCATAGAAATTAGCCTTTAACTTGTTTCAGGGAAACTTCAAAAGTTGTTTGTTTTATTTTGTTTTGGTTTATGTGCACCGCAGTACACTGTGAGATCAACAAATTCTTTGGGTTTTGGTTTAGGGAAATACTTTTTCCGGCAGTCATCATCACAGGCCTCTTGAGGCTTTGAAGCTAACGTTGTTTAAACTTCAAGCAATTCAGGGAAGTTTAAGCCAGAATGAAACTGCTGAGCAAAAGGAAGAGTTTGAAAACGTGAGTAGTCAGTTTCCTTACATTGTATCTTGTCAAAATCGATGTGCTATGTACACTTCTGAGAAAAATTTAGTCCTTTTATAGACTTGGTTTCCTGTCATCTTAGAGTACTGCCAGCAGATTCAATCCAGTTTGCATCAGGAGCATATGCTCAAGACTGCTGTGCCCTAAAATCCCCTGTGTCTTGTTGCTGCTGTTACTAATTGGAGGCCCTGTGCTACCTTACGCTGCAGTCTCTCCTGTTTGCAGGGTGACTGTGTGGCCGGTCAGTAACTCGACAGTGGCCACAGCGGTGCTGCAGAAAGCAGTACTTGTAAGCCAGGAGATGGCGACATTTCAGGCAATCCTGCCCGAAGAGAGCCGACGGTGCTCTCCGCTGCTGCTCTAGCAATAGCTGTGTTCTGGAAAAGTTGTCTTCTGATAATATCCCCGTTAGTTCTAGGCTTTTGGGGGCACGTACCAAATTTTTTAAAAAGCCAGACGTTCTCAAATGCTCTATCCTTGCCTCCTTTGGCATCAGTGAGTTGGTATTCTGTGGCACTTTTCTTTCAAAATGACTTAATAGACTTTATGAAAAAGGTAAAAAGAGATAATAACGTTGCTTGCATACAGTTCTTAAACCCTATGTCCTATACTCAGTAGTGAATGAAATGCTCCATATATATCTGGATCAGGCAGGCTGGGGGAATGGGCCGACAGGAACCTCATCAAATTCAGCAGGGGCATCTGCAAAGCCTTGCACCTCGGCAGGAAGAAACCCTCGCAGCACTCCAGGCTGGGGACTGCCTGGCTAGGGAGCTGCTCTCTTGAAAATGCCCAAGAGGTCTTGGTAGGTAGAAGCTGAACATGAGCCATCTGCGTGCCCTGGCAGCGAAGGAGGAACAGCAGGGCCTGGGCTATATGGACAGGAGCAGAGTCAATGGATCAAGGGAAATGATTGCCCCTCTGTATTTCCCAGCACTTATTAGACCACATCTATAATCCTGCATCCAGGTTTAGGCCTCTCGCTTCGGGAGAGACATCAATAAGCTGGTGGAGGGGCACCTAGGTGGTTGGGGGCTACAGCACTTGTTTATGGGGGGGAGCTGAGAGAACTGGGCTTGTTCAGGCTGGAGGAGTAGTTTTGAGGGACCTAATAGCAGTCTTCCTGCACCTATGAGGAGGGTATTAAGAAGGTGGAGCCAGGGTCTTCATAGTGGTGCATGGTGGAAGGATGAGAAACACACATAAAATGAAACAGGAGGTTCACACTGGACGTTGGGAGAAACTTTTTAACCCTGAAGACAGCCAAGCACTGGAACAAGTTGTTCAAGAGAGGTTGTGCAGTCTCTGTCCTTGGAGGTTTTCAAGATTTGACTGGATAAAGCCGTGAGCAACCTGCTATAACCTCATAACTGCCTCTGCTTTGAGCAGGAGCCCACCTCCTGGAGTCCCTCCCAACCTGAATTACTTTATGATGCTATAAAGTTTTTGGCAATACTTTCCAATGCGTTGTGCTATAAAAATTCCATGTTTTATGTCGTATTCAGTTATTTTTCCTTCCCTCAGCTAACAATGGTGTTTGTTTTTTTTTTAAGCTTTCTGAAAAAGCAGAGGCTGAATTAAAACTGTGTGACAGTGAGATAATCCCCCTTACTAATTCTATTCAGAAGTAAGTGACCATTGATTTTTCTGACTTTTCTCTGTTTTCAGGAAGTGCAGAAAAGGAATGACAAATTAGCTGAGAGTTTTGTCATGTGATCTGAAAACTTTAAGAATAAGCCATTAATGAATAATTAAAAACATGGCAGTTCATGGAGCAGAGAAATATCTATTGAATGGTTGCAGAGATATACTCTGTAAATACACAGTTGTATTTCGTCTATATCAATAGATTAATTATTGCTACACATAGATGGACTTTAAAATAATCACACTTGGAGAAGTTTGTAGTATGGGACAAAATGCTTTCTCTTTTTCACTACAGTGGGGAAAATAATTGCTAGAAAACAGATTTCATTAATGAAATCCTACTGAACAGTTATAAGTGACTAAAGAAATAATAAGTTTGAGAAAAGGCAGAATGGAAAATGGTTTTATTATGTAGAGCGCTTGTTTCAACAAAACTCGGTGTTGCAGTACAGTTTTATACTGTAATGTAAAATTAAAAGATTCTTTAATTTAAAAAGATACAGTAACTTTCACTATTGCTATTTATAACAGTTTTGCAGTGTTTAACATCCTCTGTTAAATACCCATTCCGTAATAATTTAATAGAAACTGTGTTTGTGAGCACCTGTATTTGAAAAGACACATTTAAAATTTCAGTTCCTAAAAGTGTTTTATCTTTTAAAAAAAAAAAACTTAGTGTATTTCATAATCTCTGAAACAGAGTAAGTGGAACAGTTAAACATAGAGATGTAAACTGTATATAATACCATCCAAACTGTTAAGCTGTTTGTAAGAAATCAACATCATTTTCTGTTAAATGAAACTAGTAGTATATACACTGTTGCTAAAGTCTTCATTTTTCCTAATCTAGGGCTTTACACCATTTGTCGCGTCTTAAAAGTCTTGTTGAAGATAACGGTAACCAACAAGAGCAGATGGGTGATCATGAAGAAGATAAACAAGACAAAAAGAATGATCTGTGAAGCTGATATCTAAGAATATTTTAATATTGTGTAATTTAAATAATTTGTCAGCCTGACCACTGGTCAAAATTTTTTTGAAAGCTGAACCAGTGCATGTTATGAAAAATGTTGTATTCAGTATTTCTGTACATATTTGTTCTTTTCATTAATAACTGCAAAGCTTAATTGAGTGTTAGTGCTTCCAGTAGGATCTAACAATATGTGCAAGAGATACCACTTTTTAACGAATATTTAATTAAAATAATGTGAACATTTTCATGGAAGAATCTCTGTGTGTATAAAAAATTTACAAAAAACTAAACTATTTGGCCAATTCTAGTCATCACTTCATTACGTGGCCTGTTAGAAACAGGGGGAGCTCAATATCACGTGTAAAGTTAAGCAGTAAGGTTTAGCAATAATGTAGTTACGTAATATTTCCAGTGCCGTTCTTTCTAACGGGACTTGAGTTGATGTAATTGTATGTTCCTTGTTCCCCGACCACAAACTTAACAAATATATTGTATCAAAAAGTGTCTGAAGTCTTTTTGAATTGTCCCCCTTTCACATCCTGGTAAAGCCTGGTTCTCTGGGGAGAGAAGGCACTTGTTTAGAGGCATCCTGTTTGGGAGCACAGGGTGTGTTACTGTTACTGAGAAGTCCTAATCTCCCTTCCATTTTCCTTGGCTTTGTTCTTAGCTTTAGAGCATATAAAATCCTTCAGTGGGCCTAAATAGGCAGAGAAGTAGAGTATTTATTCTTTTTTTCAGCATAATTGAATAGACTTAGCTCGTGAAAGCCACTGATAGGCACTGGAACTTGTGCAGGGGAGAGAGGAGTAGGACTTACCCCATTTGGCAGCAGCGAATTGAGAGACAAAGAAAAGCTGTAAGTAGTAATTTGAGTTGTGAATTGAAATATATTGACAGAACATCTTGAAAGAAGCCTTTTGTACCTCTTCTGAGGCTTTATATAATGTAGCCTAGTATTTTATGCTGTCAGTAAACAATATGTATGGCAACATGCCTTTCTAGTGAACTGTTTCCTTCTAATCTGGATATTTATAGGTACACATGAGAAGGCGGGTACCTGAGCATGTACTGATCCTGAGAAATGAAACAGAAGCCAGAAGGAAAAGCTGAAGGAATACTGACTATGTATTTCCCATCTTCCTGTTAAGAATTAGTAAGTAGAGAGAGAATAATAAAAATTACTTCATTTTATGACTGTCATAGAACTTGAACATAGGTAGATCATAGGTAATACGTAATAATATATTTCAGGCAGACTTTATTGGTCTTTTTCAAATGCTGAGAGCTAGATCTGAAATTGGAGTACAGACAATGAAATGTCTCCTCTGGAAAACTTTTTGTTGAAGCTTTTATAAGCATTGCATTGCTGAGACAGGAATGTACAAACCAACTGGTAACTGTGGGTGTAACTGTTGTCTGTACTAAGATAGTATCTGTTTGCCAGAGGTCGTTTTAAGGAATTCAGATGTGCAAGGAAAGATGAGGTTTTTTCCTGACATCACACATGCCTGAGTGCAGATCACGATGAATTTGCTCTACTTTTGCGCTACTCCAGATGCTGTGTGTAGGTGGTTACGCGTAGTGTGTGTATGCTGCATCATTTGAGCTAGTGCACCTCAGACTCTCAGCACAACTAGTGTGGCACTGCCCAAGCTCTCATAGCTCTCCTGTTTCCGAAGGGGCTCGTGCCTATATAGCTCACAGTAGAAAGGTAGGTTTATTCATCCAGGTGTACAGATACTCCTTGGGGTGCTGGTAGCACAAGCAAGGTGGACTCAAAGCAAGACTTGATGCCCTGAGAGTACTTGGAGGTTATACCACGCTCCCCATGTGTCCTGCTTGCAGGGGTGCATAGGACAAGTGTAAAGCACTCCCTACTCCCTTAGAACTTCTCTTGATGTTAGGGTAGAGTTTGTTTGCTATTTAGAAAGTCTTTTTCATTAATTCCCCCTTGGAGAATCCTCATACCTATCCATATTTGTGAGATGCCTCATTCTTTGGAGTTTTTTTTATTAGCCTCCAGATATTTCTCCTTTATCAGTTTCATGTACTTTGGAGAATTTCGGCACAACTTTTTGGGGGTTTTATGGCACACAGACCTAGGTAACAACTAAAAGTATTGTTGACACGATTGAATATTCATATCTACTAACTTTATATTGGCCAACTATGAAAGGCTTTGATAATGGATAAGGTCCACTGTGTGAGGTACTGTACCACACCAGATGAAAGTACCTTAAGCATATGAAACTAAGCAACAAATGAGTGACACTTCCTAGTTGTAAACAATATAAATTAAAATAAGAACAGAATAAAAAAAACCCAACAATAAAACACCATTAGTCAGTAAGTGGAGACAACTGGTTTCACATAATTTTTTTTTAAATGCTATCGAGATTTTTATGGCCTTTAAAGAGGGATTTGATCCCTTACATATCAATAGAAAAAAGTAACTTTTTGGTTGTATACACTGTTCTTGCAATTATAGCTGGGATTTAGTTTGCTTATAAGTTAGAATAAAGGAGTTGCCACTCAGGAAAAATAACGGAATGCGTAAATCCAGTACTAAACAAAATTGCCATATCCAAGATGTCAGTGATGTTCTTGTCCTTAAGGCTAGATCAGAGAAGAGGAATTTTATTGAACTACAGTCTTCTGTAGTGACAGTGGGAAAAACAAAAAGGCAGGCAGAAAGACAGAGACTGGGATTTGGAGGAAATACTAAAATAAAATAGCAGGCTAGACAGAAGGAAAGTCACTTTCTCAGCAAGTTACAAGAACTGTTTGCTAAGGATGTTCACAAGTATTTGTGATCCTATGTATTTGCATATACAGGAAATCTTTTATTGGGAGGGCACTTCCTGAATTACAGTGTATATATATCAGTAAAACGGAGCTGAGGGAAGTAAAGGCTTTGAAGACAAGTATCGTGCTCTTAAATCTTGTGAACATCCTACCTGGGGTAAGACTGCGACTTGGCATGGTGGGAGGAAAATAGATGGGTTTTTTGTCTCAGGGATTTTTGCCCTTTAAAGGCTTAATGAGAGGGTCCGTTGTGATACTGGTCTTGAAATGATTCGAATTACTGTATGCTGCAGTTATCTTTTCTTCTGTAACAGTCCATTTGCATTGGCAAATCTCTCTGCATCGTTGTATTTACACTGATACAAAAAGATGCTGATATAGGAACACTTAATTTTAGGCTCCAGGTATCAAGATTAACAGTGCTCCCCGCAGCGGGTTAATTTGGCTAGAGTTTATACCTGTTTTAGTCTGAAAAGGAGGATCTGAGAAACTGTAAACCCTGTTTCAGTTTACTCATTATCAACCTATTAATTCTTTTCCTATGTAATTCTGACGCTGCCAGAGCAGTTGTATTTGTTTTCCAAGAGATGCTTATGGCTTCTCACATATATATAAGTATCAGGAATTATGGAACCCTTGAAAATCATGATGTATATTTTCTTTCTGGTTGATTATGGATTCTGTGACTTACCATGGTTTTTAATTTTTGTGTCCTTACTCAAAATATTTGGTCAACTTTACAGCTGATAGGTCTCTCACTGTGCAGACAGAATTGCCGTTCAAAGGGAAATGAGAAAAACTTTTCATTAATTTTAATTGACCTGATCCTGCTGTTGCCAATTTGAATGGCTGAGCTTTCACAGCTCTTCCAGAACAGAAAAGAAAGGACTGCTGAAGAGAGATGGGCTCTATCTCATAAGGAAGAATAAGTGCTTCTTTAAGTTTAGGCTTACTAACTTAGGAAGGAAGACTTTAAACTAGAATTAATGGGGACTGATGACAAAATAATGTGTTATCAGTGGAAAGGTGACTAGAGGCATAGTAACCATGGGTATAGGGTTTTTATAAAAAAGACTGAAGCAATATGGAAAACAGGATAGTGATTATGCCTGCTTAACATTTAAGATATCTATACTAGTGCAGGCTGTATGGAAACTAAATGGAAGAACGTACAAGGTTCTATACAAAGTTGTGATTTAGGCAATGTAAATGTTTACTTGGTGGGATATTTCATTTGTTAATGAATTAATACAGAAAAAAAAGTGGAGGTGACTCCTGAAGAAAAGGGCAGGGAACATGTGTTTCTCTATGAATATTTACCTTTGTATTGAAGTCTAGAATATAGAGGGAGATAATCTGTTAAAAGTATGCTTATGATAATAAAAGGAGAAAAAGCCTGACTGCTGTTATGTTGAGGACCTACCACTAAGACCACCAAACCAAGAAGGATAAGATGAAAAGAACATTCTTGTAAACAACTGACAGAATAATTTGCCTTGAGGAGATACTAGCTAACCAAATATTTGTTGGGAAAAATAAATTGAATACAGAGTATCCAGGGTATTTTTAGACTAGGATGATGTCAGGTTTTGATACTGAAGGTGACTGCAAGAATTTTCTTACAAGGTTGTCAAGATTTTTAGAATGGAAAAGAGGAAGAATAGAAAAAAGCAACTACAAGAAGTTCAAAGATCTGTTTGCAAAATCCTATGAAAAAAGTCTAGGAAAAAGGTGCTCAGGAGTTTGGCAGTTCATAAAAAACACACATATTTAAGATATAGTTGCAGGATATCCTAATATGGAACAGTGAAAGTAAATGTAATGTCTTGTAGTCCTCAATGGTCTTCAGGAAGGAAGCATAACGGAAATAGCTAGAATTGTTCCTGAAGATGAGTCATCTTGGACTTTTGTGCTTTTTGGAAAGTCGAAAGCACAAAGATGAGAGACAAGGAGGAAGAGTTGTCGAAGATAGTAAAATAACCCAAAAGTTCCTTATTGCTTAATAAGTCCCTTACTGATATGAGGGAGGACCAAGGGAAATTTTGGTCCATGACTTCCCTGCAGAGAGTAATAAATTATGTCAGTGAAGGTACAACATTTACTTACAACATCAATGGCAACGGGCAGTGGATAAAGTTCAGATTACAACAGGGAAGACATGATTGATAGCTCTTATGCAAGCTACCTGTGTTCGGTGG